CCCCCGGCCTTTCGCGTTTGGGGATGTGAAACCCTGTTCCGGGGAAACCCCGGCGTGCTCCGCCCCGCCTTGGTGGGGATGGGGGGCAAAGGGTCAAAGGATTCCGGCAGCCCGGCTTTGGGGTCCCCCCCCCCCCCCCCCCCGCCCTGTTGTTTCTCGATCGGCAGGTCCCGTTTCCCGCGGCCCAATGGATGGCGGAGGAGATGCCGGCGTGTACGGTGTCTGTGAAGATGGGGGGGTGAGTTTTGAGTGAATGCGCTGAGCATGGCGGTGCTGTTACCGCTATCTAGACCTGTTTGCCGTAGAACCGCGGGCTCGATACTTGCGGCTACTTCTCTTTTGTCGCGTTACAACGCTATTTTTTTTTTCGTGTTGTGTTTTTGAAACGATGTTGGTGGCGGTAGCGCTTGAGCGGACAGCGAGAGTACACCGAGCCGCAGAAGTCAACGGCGTTCGCGGTTCCACGGCCATCTCCTCAGCACGTACTGTTCCAGAAAGTGCGACGTACAAAGCGATTGCTTCTTCTCCGCGAAAACCGCGCGTCGTTGATTGTGCATGACCAGCGCACACCGCCGCAAGCCGGTTCGTGTGTCCGGTGCTACGAACGTCCTTCCTACATGTAAACGTTGTTTGGGACCTTGCTCACTCATTGCGGTGACACTGCCGTTATGCGCACCCTATCTACAACTGTTTTTTTGCTGCCACCGCGTTGTTGTCGCGCGTGCACAAAAACGAAGAGCTGGAGAGAGAACTCTTTGGACGTTAAAACGTTAAAACCTCCCTTGTTGTCTCCGGTGCGGTATCGAGCATGTCTGGGAACCAACCGATATCACGCACACAAGTACCCGCCGTCTTTGCCAGACCGCGCCCTCAGTATATATTGTTGACGGATTCTGCACCAGTGTGCGGTCACACAGGGCATCGTCTACTACGGCTTCTACCGTGGGGGGGGCCTAGCACCGGCTTTTTTCTTTCCTCAGATTTTTTTCTGCCGGCACAACGTTCCAGTGAGCTCGAGGGGTGTGCGTGAAGTACATATCCCCAACGGATATCTCCAACGAATGTGCATCTCGAACGGGAATGTGGTCTCTCCGTGTTTTTTTATGTAGCACATATTGTCTAAGAGCCGTCGCCTTGCTCGGTGTCCGCAGAACGCACGCCCTGATCATGGACAGCGGTGTGGTGGACTGCGTGCTGGAGTGCATGTGCGAGGACTTCAAGCACTTCGAGGAACACGCCGCCAGCCGTCGGTTGAAGAAGCGCCCGCCCTCTGAATCGAAATCCTCCGCGGGAAAGGTGAGGAGGTTGTGCAGGAGGAGACTACTTGTACGCTTGACGGTATGGTGGTGAAGTTGCTTGCCTCAGATGTCGACGCAGTTGTAGCGAACGCGCATCCTTCGATGAATGCGGGTGGCATTTATTTATTTTTTTCCTTAATATGACACAATAAATCAATCTCTATCCGCAGATAAGGGTTCTAGGAAAAAGAATTACACAAGTAAATTATATCGGAGCACTACCTGGTATATTTGTGTTGCGCGGCTTGGGAGCCCGCATGCTGCAGATGAAGCTGTGTCGTTAACGCCCCTCGCCGAGCTGTACTGTAGGCCTGCCATTGTACATTGGAATGCGATGACGGGTCTGGTCGCTGCGTAGCGTCGTTTGCAGCAGCAAGACGCCGTGCAACGCTTGCCTGAGTCACTGTTATGTAGCTCCGCCCATTTATGCCCATTGCGAATTGCGGCGTCTCAGATACGCTGTGCGCGTTGCTGCTGTTGCAGCATAACGGCCCTTCATCTCACCGAGGAGCGTGAGATCTGAGGAACCAGGAGATATTTCTTCGTCTTTTAATGCCCGCCGCCGGCATATCCACGTCCATTGGCTGGATGAAGTAGCGTTCCTGCTTGACACTATTGTCCCTGTGTCCGGGCTGTAGATCCTGTGCGCTTCACTGTTAGCACTGCACTCAACCAGTTCCCTTGCCAAGCTCGGAGCCATCTGTGTGGGGAGCACCAGCGTTGACACAGGTGTGCACGAGATGGTGTCACAGGCAACACATCATATGGGCTCACCCGGGGTACCATCGGTTTCCGCGTAGCCCCTTGGTCATTTTTTTTTACTTTTTGTGTGACTTGCAACTCGGATGGTCTCTCACCCCCTGTGTGTGTGCCCTCCCCCCTCTGCCTTTTTTCATTCTGCGGTGCCCCATCGTGTGGGGGGTCGTGGGTGCCGGTGGCAGGTGCCTGAAGCCGCCTTCAGCTTTCCCGCCCACACTCAGCACTTCCAGGCGAAGGGGGTGCTACGATGTCGAGAAGGCGTGCTTATCAAGAGTTGGGAAGAGAGGTGTGTCGTTTTCGTTTCATTCGCGTGCGTGATGGGGGTAACCTAGCGCTTGTCAGGGCGGGCGACAGGTAGTATAATAGTACACGCGAGCACACGACGGCAGTACCGTAGGCGACATGACGCAAGGCACCTCCACACCCCGAAAACGATTTTCAGAGGTCGACTACAACTCCAAAGCAGAAACAGCGGCGGTGCCCGAGATTGACGGTGTTGATTGAAACCGTCTCGTCGAGAGCTTTCCGAAAACGAGTCACGTCGTTTGTGCATCCTCTTCGTGCCAGTTGCCGGTGTAGCGCCGGCGTTTTCGGCGGGCGCACACTGAGTTTCCAAGGTATTCTGCGCTTCGAATAGTCCCGGTGTCCGTGAAGTGCAGGACCTTCTATGCACTTGCAACAACTCGACAGGTACTTCGTTTTGGATGGCTACGAGCTGCACCAGTTTGATGGGCCGGACAGCGCAACAGCCCGGCGAGTGGTCGACCTCCGAGGAAGCGTCGCCAAGATGCGGGAGGGCGACGCCGAAGCGCTAAGCCGCGAACGCTCCGCTTCGACCCAACATCGATTGTTCCCTTTCAAGGTGTGTGTCCTGCGCCTTCTATGGAGTCATAACTCACCCCCCGAGTCTAAGGTTGTCTTGACCCCCAATATTGGTAAATCCCTTGTTCAAGGTGCTCACTCAAGTCTAAGATTGTCTTGACCCCAACATTGGTGGTTTGTTCTCTTTTTGAAGTTGCTCACCCGAGTCTAACATTGTCTTGACCCAATAATTGGCTTATTGTCTTTTTGGAAGTCCTCACTCAAGTCTTAGATGATGTTTAACCCAATCACCGGTTTATTCCCTTTTTTAGTCTAAGGTTCTGTTGACCCCCAACATCGGTTGATTGCAGTCTTCAACTTGCGTCTCGTGCCTTCTATGGTGCCATATGTCTTGATGCTGCAGGAAGGTTTAGGGCGTGGCACGCGGCATTGCATCAGCATGGCTAATGATTTAGCTGCCGGATATGAGAGATGACGTTGTCTTATTTTTATGTTGGTGTCTTGGGATTGCTCATGTGTTGTGTCTTATGTCTGGGAGGCTGGCTCCTGTACCCCTGGAGTGATCGAGGTCATCTTCCTTGGGGGTATCTTGCAGTGACCGTAGCGAAAGGCGGCACGCAGTTTTCTGCTTGGTCAAAAATCCTTAGCCCGCGGTGCTATTTTGGCAAGCGCTCATCTCGCGTGCTTGGGGCGTCAAAAACGGCCGAGTTCCACCGATCGATGTAGTAAACTTTCTCTCTGTTCCCCTCCGGAACGATGCACCCTTTCTGCCATGCCGTCCGTGCTCGCGCAGCTGTACGACGCCAATCATCGCTTGCTACACGAGCTGGCCGCGAAAAGTACCGGAGATCGGTCATCCTGGGTAGAAACCCTCACGAAAGCCTCGAGATTCTCGGCGGGGTCCGGGGACGATCGACGGCAGGCCGCGCTCAATAAAGGTTTCCTCGTGACAACGACGAGAGCGGCGGCGGCGGCGGCGGGCAGCAGAGGGGGGGGAGGGCATTGAGGAGCAGGGGCAGTGAAACGGAGACGGCAGCATAAGTGAAGGCTGAACGAAGAAGGTCAGCCTTTTTTTCTATTTGAGTGCTTGCAAGCTCTCTTGGTCGTCGACGCGGCTTTCTTTTGTTGTTGTTAGCCTTGGGTCTGCTTTGCCCTTTCTGAGCGGTTGTCCTCGCGAATGCGTTCCGTGCGTCATGCGGCATCGATGTTGCCGGCGTTTCCCCTCGTGTACAGGTGTGAACGTTTGCTGCAATTCGACAACCCCCATCTACCCGTCTAACCACGTTAGCTGTCAATGCACGCAGGCCTCCAGTCCTTCGCCGTGACGCGCCTCCGAGCCGAGGCCGGCGTTTGTCTCGCCCCCCTCTTCGTGTGCGTGCAAGTGCGGGGAACGATCTAAGGGCTGGCTGTAAGTGGGGAAAACATTCCGGGGGAGGTTATTTCACTAGGGATATCTTGCGGCGGGCACCGTTCCGGAAGCATAGGACGGGGAAAAGGGGAGGAGGCATTCTTAGAGAGAGGGACCGGGGGGGAAGGAAGGCCTCGGTGAAATTGAACGTGTACGTGTTGTTGGCTTTTGATTAGAAAATGTGATGTGGTCGGTTATGGTGCAGGGCGATGAATTTGGCGTGGTTGTGGACCGTCCCAATAGTTTTGTGGGCGTCCCCGTGAGTTGAGTGCTGTGGGCGTTTTCGGTGGTGGTTTGGCTGTGCTAAGTGCTATTTAATTAGACATGGTTGTTAGAGAGGATGCTACTGTTTTTTGTACCCCCTCCAATCAGGTGTGAGCTGTGTATCCATGTATTTATTGGTTTTTGTCGAGGTCCGGTTCCGTGTTTTCGGTGTTGTGGGTCGAAGTGAGGATATGTTGGCTCGGGCCTGCTTTCGTCACGACGCAATGGTCTTCTGGCGTGCTCCATGCCCAGTCCGCGGCGGTCTGAAGAAGAGCTGTTTAAGGGGGCGGCTTCAGGTAGCGAACGGGCAGGAAAGATCGACTTATGGCGTGTCACATGCGCGCATGGTAGGTGCGTGGCGTGCAGAGGGACCGGTGTTTATTTCTGCTTGGAAATTGGGTTGTTTCCGTTTCGTGGCGCAAGCTCGGAAAGCATATGTGTGGTGAATTTAACCATGATCGTTTAGTGTGGTAGAGGTACAATCATATGGTGATGTCCCTTTGAGCACGAGGCTGACTGCTCGAGCGGTGTTCTGGGACCGTTCTTTTTTTCTTGCATCTGGGCGAGCGGATCAATCCTTTCACAAGACTGCCGTGCCTGAACATGCCTTTGCAAGAAGCCAACTGCCACGCATCATGATGGAGGAGAGAGACGATCGAGGGGGTCGAAACCGTCGCGTGGTAACCTTACGAACACCCCTGCTATTTGTGGTAGGCACTAACGCAGTCGACGAGGGTCTCTCTTTCGCGCGGCAAGTGAGAACTTAGACTTGATTGTGGGCTTCGCATCTTGGACATGCACCGCTGTGGTACATGGATCTTATCGTGGAAGGAACGGGTGACAAGAGCAAAGTTGGAGGATTCCAATGTTCCCGACAGGCCTCGCTGCACCAGCCGTGGAGCGCAACGCAGCACAGGCACAAAGACGCGTGTTGGTGTGTTGTATTGCTACATGTAACAAAATGGTGGTCTGAAGGTCAGTCTTGCCGTCAAACTACGACGTCCTCCGACGAGAGAATACAGCAATGCTCCTCGCCACCCCAACAGCAGTCGCGCCGTCATCCTCCGATGTAGCCGGACAAGCTAGTTTCCGGCGCGAGCAATGCACCACTGCTCTGCTCTTCATTAGGTTAAGAGATCATACGCACAACGCATGTAGGTGAACCTGTGGCCTACACGTGTATGTGAACCTGGGGCCCTTCGTTGGTGTTGGTAAAACTTTGCTTGTTTGTTTTAATAGACTTCACGTATTGCACAAGGCACTCCCTCCCTGTTACCGTGCGCCCGATGCCACGTCACCACATGCCCTGTTGGTTCATCGTCTACAGTACTGGGAAACGGTTTGCCCACAAACCGCCACTCGCTACAAACTCTACACATTCATTCCAAAAACCTGCTGATAGTGCCGAGGCACGATGTCATAATCTCCCGAGGTCTTCGCCAACACTGGTGGCACAGACAATCCAACGACCCCAAACCAAAAAAAGGTATTTCAACAACTTACGAGGTAAAACGCACCCCCCAAACCAAAAAAGAGGCACCACAACTATTTACGAGGTAAAAACGCATCCGGAACAAAATAAAAAAGTACCAACTACATATTTACGAGGCAAACCGCGAGGAGAGTTCAACATGCCCGTGTATCAGCATCTTCAATAACGCAACTCCTGTTCTTATGCATTGCACACTACTATCACAGCAAACACCAAGATAATATCAACACGATCACCAAACACTACACAATCCGCAGTCACTCGGCGTACGATCTAAGGGGCACCACCGGTTCTGAATTACACCGAAGCTTCCAGCCACAGCTGGAGCACCAGCAGGCACAGCGCTTGCAGGCGCGCACACACCGTTTGTGCATTTTAGGTTATCGTCCGTCACTGACCCAACCGAACGTTAACCGCTTTTGTCTGGCACGGCGACTGCGCATTCACATCTTGAGAAACAATTCATTGTGTACTCGGCCCCGCCCAAACACAGCAGCAATTACTCAAGAAAACCTTGCCAGTGAGACACTCATGTACAAAAAATCCGATCAACAACGACGACAACCACACTCGCTTCGCTCGCTGGTACTGTCGAGGGCGCAGACGCAGAGCCGAACAAGAAAAACATCAGCTCCAACAAGAACGCCATCAGCACCGGCAACAAACCCCCGTGACCAAAATCCCTCCGAAAAATCACAACACACCTCCGACGTACGTCTAGGGAACCACCGCAAATGGTTCCACGCCGAAGAGTGTTTGTCGTCAACAGGCAGAGCACAACGACCGGAGTGCTTTGAGCCGACGCGAGGATCGCTAGCCTTCCCCCCCACCCCCCACCCCCCACCCCCCCGAATTTCTCTCCCGCGTCACCCTCATAACCGGCGGTGGGATTCTAAAACTCGCCGCCGTCTCCAAGCCCCCAAGACCCCTCCCTCCCGACATCGCTCGCTTCGCCGCCCCTTGGGCAAGGAGAAGACAGCGAGGACAGCATCGCCGGCGCAAGACCCGCAGCGTCTTGCCCCCCCGCCAAATCCGTTTCCGCCCCTCCTGCATTTCGCGGCGCCCCCATCCCCGACCCCTCGCGCCACCCTAACTCTCTCTTTTGCCTAACC